ATTGGTGACTCATATTCCTCTTCTGGTCAATCAGTACCACAAGTCTCTTTTGGTTATGGTGTTAGCGACCGTAGCACTGCTGAGCTTGTAAGTATGTTGAGGGTTCTTCCTACTGAGATGCAGGACCTTACACTTCTCTACATTGAAGGCCGTTAGGTTTTGGTCAGCCCACCTTGAGAGCGTGTCCAAGTCGGTCTGCATGCCGAGTCTGTCCTGTGGTGTGACTGCCCTCCCCCATAATTCGGTGTCATCTGCAAACTTTGCCACTTTGCATCTGACTCCTGACTCCAGATCGTTAATGAAGATGTTAAAGAGTACCGGCCCACGTACCAAGCACTGACAGACTCCACTGGCCACCCTGCGCCACATTAATTTTCTCCCATCAATTAGTACTCTTTGGGTCCAACTCTGTAATCATATACCTAGCCACTGGATTGTAAGATGATCAAGGCCATAGTTCCCCAGCTTAGGACATTGTGGGGAACTAGGTCAAAGGATTTCTTGAAATCCAGATATATGACATTCATGTCATTTCCCTTGTCCAGGGCTCATGTCACCTGGCCATAGAAGGAGATGAGGTTGGTCAGGCAAGACCTGCCAGTCACAAAGCCATGTTGGCTGGCCTTCAGAAGATTGCTTTCCTCTAGTCTGGTGTTGATGGATCCCTTGACCGTTTTCTCCAGGATTTTTCCACGGATGGACATCAGACTGATTGGTCTATAATTCCCTGGGTCATCCCTCCTCCCTTTCTTGAAGATAGGGACCACATTGGCTCTTTTTCAGTCTTCTGGGACCTCGCCCGCATGCCACAAATATTCAAATATCAAGGAGAGTGCAATTTTCAAATATCAAGGAGAGTGCAATTTCTACCAGCTCCTTCAAAACTCTCAGGTGCATTCCATCTGGGCCCATGGATTTGTGAATTTCCAGTTTCTCAAAGTGTTCCCTCACCTGATCCACATCAATTTTGGGCCTGCCACCTGCTCCCAAAATAGTTTGTGTCCTTTCTGATAGTGTGATCCCCTTGGGAGGGTGAAACACTGGTACGAAAAAGTCATTTAGGAGATTGGCCTTTTCTTGGACGTCAGATGTCAGCTGCCCCATTTGATCTCGCAGGGGCCCAATGCTATCTTTGTTCTTTTTTTGACTTCCCACATATTTGAAGAAGGACTTTTTGTTGTCCTTGATCCTTGTAGCTAGCCTGAGTTCTATTTGTGCCTTGACTTTTCTGGACCACTCCCTACAAGTGGGGGCAAGTGCTGAGGAGTCCTCTGTTGCTGGTACATGTTATAGGGCTTTGGCCTCTTCTTGGTTGATGCCTTTCCCCCCAGCGATGTCAGGATGAGATCTGGATTCAGCACCACCGAGATGGTTCAGGTACTGCTCCTACTTGCCTGCCACATCTTTGATGTTCATTGTTCTTTTCTTGGGAGGAAGTTCCCTGTAGGTGGCTGGAGGAGATCTCTTCTCTGGGTTTCTTTGTGGGGCTCCAACCTCCCCTTTATCCCACCCTCACCACATCCACAGCCAGGGGTGGACTCGACTCCCCGCAGGTCTTGTATTGGAATGATCCTGTCTCATCCATGCCACCCACCTCCAAGGGTTGGGTTGTCTTGGCCATCACCCCTCCCAAGGCTATCCTTCATCTTTGGACTGAGGCCTGGGCAACTAAACACACCCCAGTCCGGGGTTAACTGCAACTTAGAAGTAAAACTGAACATAAGATGTCAGCATCTACTGACAGGCTCCTGGGATCTTGTCTCCCAGGCACCTTCAGTCTTGCCAAGGACTCCACCGCCCTTTTCTGCCTAGTACGCATTTGGAAGGGTCAGCCACCCTGTGACAGGCCGCTGCTGGCCCTCTCAGGCAAGCCCCCCTTGGTTCGTCAGTCTTAGTTTAAAGCCAGGTCAGCCATTCTAGCCGAGAAGTGCTTCTTCCCTTTCCAGGTGAGGTGGACACCATCCCTTCCCAACAGTCCACTCTCTCTGAAGTGTAGATCATAGTCAAAGAAGCCAAACTCCTCACAATGGCACCATCGCCGAAGTCTTCTATTCATCTCACCAATGCACGTTTCCCTCTGGAGCCCATGTCCTGTGACTGGGAGGATCAATGAAAAAGCTATCTGTGCCCCTAGACCCCTGAACCCAGCCCCCAGAGCCCTGTAATCATGCATGACCCAACCCAGACTGCTCCATGCCATATCATTTGTGCCCATGTGGATGAGTAGCATGGAAAAGCGCTTGGAGGGCAGGACAAGTTTGGGGATCCTCTCCGTCACACCCCAGACATGAGCTCCAGGCAGGCAGCAAACCTCACAAGCTAAGGGGTCGGGGACCCTGCCCCACCGGGGGGGACCAGTGAGTACCCTCTTCCCCTCCTCTCTCTCCCTGGGGGACTGGGCCAAGTAGGAGCCAGGGCAGGGCAAGCCCCTCCTCAACTCCTCTCAGCTGCCTCCCTGAAGCTGGCTAGTCCCATCCCACCATGGGCCCCGCTCACCTCCAGCTCTGCAGATGGGGTCTGCTGCAGCTGCTGATGGTTGCTGGGGGGTTTTGGGGAGCGGGGGCATGACAGGCTTACACCCATGCATCTCTCGCCACTCAGGGACCCGAACTGAATTCTCTGTTTTCTGTTACAAGTTAGATGGCATGAAAATGAATTAGCAAGATGTGAATGCATCTTCAGTATAATCTCACTTTGACAATGGGGAGGTAACTACTCCAATGTCTGCAGTGCCATACTAGTTTTTTTCAAAATAGTTGTATTCAGAGACATTTTGGGCACATCTACATGTTACGCATCAATGAACATTAGCCTAATTTAATGAGCATTACGGGTGTACATCTACATGTGCATGCCTTTAATCTGCATTAGAATGGTGAAATTAGTCTAATTTTGCCTAAATTTGATACCTGCAAATGCCAGTATCAAATTTAGGCACGATTAGTTAAAGTGCATTAACGCATGTGTAGATGCAACCCAGCACTAACTTTAGTGCTGGGTCTGCCCAGCCACTAGGAGCACATGGCAGGGATGCAGGGACCCGGCACTAACTTTAGTGCACTAAGTGCACCAAAGTGCACTAACTTTAGTGCTAAGTCTCTGCACGTGTAGACATCTGCCAAAAATCGCTGAATGCTTATTAAGCTAATGCCTAGCAATTAGTTAGTTAACCTAGTTATAATGGCTGATTCTGCTCGGGCTACATACTTATAGTAAAAGTCCTTGTGGTTTAAATCCCAAATCTGTTCACTCTGATCTCTTCATTTTTTGTGCTTAGTCAGTGCACGCATACAAAACAATATGCCAACAGATCCCAGTGCTAGACTGAAATATAAAATAGTAATTTTCATCAGTCCTTTTGCCATTGCTTCATAATAATGAATAGAAAGAAAGATCTTCTTGAAAGGGGAAGTTTTAAAGGTTTATTGATCAAAAACAAATTAGTGATTTGTTTGATTACTAAGCTTGGTAGAATTTTATGTAATAATGAATAATTTATATTGTTCAAGTGTTTTATTAGCAATAGCAATGTGATGTTTGAAGAAACAAAGTTCATACAGCAATAAACATATGTTTTTAACTATTTATTTTCTTCAGGAAACTTAACCATCCCAAACTGGTTAAGCTGTATGGTGTATGCACAAAGACATATCCTATCTACATAGTGACTGAATATATGGCAAATGGCTGTTTGCTTAGTTACTTGAAGAGTCATGGAAAGAAACTACAACCCCTTCAGCTACTGGAAATATGTTACAATGTGTGTGAAGCTATGACATTCTTAGAAAGCCATCAGTTCATACATCGAGACTTGGTAAGTTTTGTTGAGAGCAGAATCAGGACTTTAGGTCTAGATCTTGAAAGGCATTTAGGGGCCTTTCACTGACTTCAAGTAAGTACAGGTTCAAATAGTTTCAATGGTACTTAGGCCCCTGTACATGAGCTGGCACCCAAGACTGTTTGGCCTTAATTTCCATACTCACAGTTAATGGAGGAATGCATGTTGAAAAATAATGACAGAAGAGCCAAGGAGAAATTGGTTATTTTATAAACTAATTTTAAAAATCATCGTAAATCCTAGAGGCTCATATTCAAGATTCACAAGTTCAAATGATAGTCTTGTCTTCTCCTTGAGACGATATGTGAGAATCTACATGTGAGGGGTAACTCTTCAATGGGCCTTCAACCCAGTCTCTGAGTCTCCAACAATAATATCATATGCTCAAAACTGAAGTCTTTTAATCATTTAGCTGTGTGTGCAAAGCAAATAGACATATTTTTTTTTATCTGAGGTGCCAGACAATTTACATGGACAAAAGACAAGTTTTAAATAAAAAGGAAATTTTTGAAAATTTGCTCCTGAGAGTTACAAGTCATGGTTAGCTAGGAATAAAAACTGAACCTGTCCTTGAAAGGAAGACTACAAATGCAAACAATCTCCCAGACCTAATCATTATACAGATAGACAATATAGCCTTAAGACACAGCAAGCATAAATAAGCATTTGCAGAATTGGGGTCTTATTGGCCTATTGACTTCCACTACTGCTTAAAATGTCTCTATATTCCATTCTATTTATCGCGCATAGTAAATAACCTACTCAGCATTCACCTACAGTAAGTTTGTTTCTCTTATTTTGAATGAGCTCATAAACATTGATGCAGAGTGCCCAAGCAGCATAGTCATTGCACTAGGACTCAACTTGAAAAACTGAAGTTCAGTCCCTGGCTCTGCTGTGGGTTTGCTGGCTATCCCTGTGCAAGTCCATTTCGTCCATGTGGATGAACGGAATGAAGATACGGGCCTCCACTGTAAACTGCTTTTTGAGACTTACAGTCAAAATGTGTTGCATAAATGATAGGCAGTAGAGGATATAGTAGTAATACTAATACTATTACTACTACAAATAGAAACAAGTTCTTCATGTATTGATTGAAGAATTCCATTAGTTCTGGGAAATTCTTCTGGATAAAAATAAATATCGTATTTACTCAAATATGAGATGAGGGTTTTCCCCTCAATCAATGTGGGGGACAGGAAGCCCCTCATATTACATTCATATACACCAAAACCACATTAAATACATTGCCCATATTTAAAGTGCTGCTAAAAGCAGCATGTGCTCAGTAATGGAAACAAAATATGAAGTTGATTAAATGCAGCCAGCACTGAGTGTGACTATAAATACGACTTATATCAGGGGTAGACAAAATGGGTGGTCCAGCCGGTAGCCTCACTCTATTTCCCAGTAGCCTCTGCTTATGTGGCTGCCCAACAGTCTCCATGGAGACCCTGGGAGTGGTGGGGCCATGAAAGCATGGGGTCATGATAGCTCAGAGTTTGGGCCCAGTCCAGGGCAGAGCCCCAATTGCGTAGCCCCATACTGTTAGGTCCTATGCTATCACAGCTCCGCCGCTCCTGGGGTCTTTATTAGAGACTGGCCAGAGCCCCATAGGCTGGGTGGGGAGCTGCTCTAACAATCTGGGGCAGTGACAGCAGGGGACGAAGGCAGAACTGCAATCTGCTCCCTGCATTCCCCTGCCTAGGGAAGCCGTACTCATCACAGGGGCATGCAGGCAGATCACAGCTCTGTCCCGGCCCCAGCCCTAGCCCCACACTGACACAGCCCCAAAATTCCAGGGTTTCCCCAGACCTACCCACCTGTCTTGCTTCCTGCCACTACCCCACCGCAGCCGCCTTGCTCGTTTGGGTCCTACCCCCAATGGTGGGTACAGGGAGGATGATCTGGGGTGCCCAGGCAGTGGGGTTGGGTCTGGCGGCAGCAACCAAAAGAGCTGCTGCCATAGGGGCTACTGGGAAATAGACTGCCATGGGCTGGATCTGGCCTGTGAGCTAGACTTAACCCATTCCTGGCCTATATGGAAATAATATGCTGATGGGAAACATTGTTTTTCCTTCTAAAAAAAATTCTGTGGGTGTTCCACAGGGAACTAGTACCAGGTTTAGAGGTATTGTAATACCAGGCCAGAGTGAACCCTGACACCCTCCCCTTTATGCCAAGACTGCAGACCAAGCTGCTGATGGCAACCCTTTTGTTTTTTTAACAAATTTTTCCTGTTCCAAGCCAAATCAAGTCCAAATCCATGAGTCAGTCCAGAACTGTAAGTGGTTCTACAACCAGCAAACATCCTCCACCCCCACCAGGGGCTTCAGATATTTCCAGTGGCTTTTGGCGGGCATCCTATGTGCAGGCCCCAGCCTGGAGGCTTGGGGTTCAGATGCCCCCAAATTTCGCCTACCCTCAGCCATATGGCCACAGGAGCAAGCTAGGGAGAAGCCTTCCATTTCCATAAGAAGCATATAGATGGAGGACACGGTAGATGTCAAAGCATATAAATGAGGAGATTTTATGTTAGTTTGCAGAATGTGTAAAGTGCTGTAAACTGTTGTGTGTTTACTGTGGGGGGGGAAGGGGGAAGGAAAGATGTTTATTTTAATTTTTTTTTAAATATCTAGCAGGGGAGGTACCAGGATAGTATCAGTCAGGTTGTTTTCTTGCTCACCTTTGAATGACTACATGTAGAAGGGAGTGGAGACCTGTCTTGCACTGCAGCCAGGACTCCCTACAAGTCTACAATAGCATCCCAATAGGAAGATCTTAGCTACACACCTATTTTATGGAGATGGGGGATTTCCCTCTAGCTTGCTCCTTTAGCCAGTTGATTAAGGGCAAGTGACATTTGGAGGTATCTAACCCCAAGATCTCTGGGCTTGGGCTTCTATGTAGGATTCCTGCCATGGCTTTGGAAGTATCTAAAGTCCCAGGCTGAAAACTCTGGGAAAGAGGATATTTACCAGTGGTAGCACCACATGGATTTGAATGACTGAATTTTGCTCAATTGCTAGGATTCAGAACTGATTTGGTTAATTTGACCTGGAACATAAAATGTATTTAAAAAAAAAGCAAAAAAAAAGTTTGTAGTACATATAAGTACAAATTGCTACCACCATGTTTATTTCAAAGTCAGTGTTTTCAGACTTGTTCCTCACTTGCATTTACTCAGGGAGAGCAGGGTCTGACAGTAAGGAGTGGACAGAGGGCTGCAGGAGGAAGAAGTTAAGGGGGGGCGTAGGGTAAAGGGGCTACCTGCCATCTGACATTTATTTTCCCTGTTGGGAAAGGGGACATGTTGGGAAAGCAGTGGGAAGGGGACATGTTCAAGGCAGACCTCCAATACTTAGATTCTATACTTGAAAATATGTATCAAATTTATACATTTTCCATATATATAATCTAATTATTGGGGGCATAATTTTATATTGAGTAAATAAATGGTAATGCCACCTGTTTTGTTTTTGATTTTGATTACTCAGTTTATTTTATCATTTCCCCACTAAAGGCTGCAAGGAACTGTTTGGTTAACAATGATCTTACTGTGAAGGTATCTGACTTTGGAATGGCTAGGTAAGCTACAGACTGAATCTTTATCAAAGGGTGCAGTAATTTCAATCATACTTGGTTTATTCTGATTAATCAGCTCGTGCTGCCATGAAAAAAGTTAATGAGTTGTTTACTAGTAAAATTAAGCCCAGGTCTTGTAGAGAGTTAATAATTATAGCTCATTCCAGGGTGTTCAGTGTGATGTTAAAGAAACCCTACATTTGGACTTTGTAGGTGAGAGAGTTTCTTTAATGGTCCCTTTTTGAGATAGATACAAAGCAATAAGATATAAAGGGTCCTCCCATAATTTGGTAGTAGTGACCTGCCTATGTAGGACAAGGTTAGAGTTTCTATCTCCTCACCTCTTAAAGTCTGGGTTTCAGCCTAATCTGAAGCTTTTTGGATAGTTGTTCTAATAACATTAAAGGAAAATGCAATAAGCAATATAGCACTGTGAGTTTGTCATAACCTGAAGATTGGATCTTGCTTTGCAGGTATGTTTTGGATGACCTATATGTAAGTTCACAAGGAACTAAGTTTCCAGTAAAATGGTCAGCACCAGAAGTTTTCCATTATACCAAGTTTAGCAGCAAGTCAGATGTATGGGCCTTTGGTACGTATTGGAGGTGCTATGTATAATGCAGGAGCTTAAAAAGGTAGAAAATGCAACCTTTATTTCATAGTTGAAAAGCTAAAAGAAACAGACTCCAACAACTATCTTCAAAGATTTACAAAAATACTCACTGGGTGTAGCTGCTTAACATTGCTCTGCAACAACAGTAGGTCAAACTGTGCCCTGTGTTATACTGCCGTAGTCCTAATAGTTTTCTTTTGATGTAGTGTGAAAAAGTGTTTAATGCAGTACTCTAGTGTGGGTTGCTGACAGCAGGGCCTGAACCTGAGACCTTCTGCTCTACAGCTTGGGTCCCTGCTGTCCAAATTAAAAAGAACTATTTCCTTATCTCAAAGACTATAACAGATTCAAAACCATCTACATGTGAGCCAACCACTAGAGGGGGCCAGAGCTCCAGCCTGAGTAAACGTGGGTTACACTTGTTATGCTTCAGGGGTATAGGTTGGGGTAGGCAATGTTTTTTGGCCAGAGTGCTGAAAAACCCCACAACGCCTACCTTGGAAGGTGCAGGAGTGCCAGGATGCCAGAAAAACAAAATGAGGGAAGGGGGTACATGACAGGATGCCCTGCTTGTGCCTCTTGCCCCTAGCTCTGCTTCCCCTGCCCCCCACACAAAGCCCCCGCCCCCAAACCTGGGCTCCTGGCTGGCAGCAGCTCCCCAGAGCCAGGGCCAGCTGCAGCTGGGAGGCTCCAAACAGCCATGCTGGGCTCTGGAGCCCCGGCATCAGCTCTGGACCGGTGCATACTGGGACATGCAGTTACCACCGACATGGACCTGATGCCAGAGCTATGGAGCCCACTGCAGCTGTTTGCAGCCTGCCCGCTGCTTGCTGCAGCTGTCCAGACCACAGGCTGGCTACAAACAGCCGCACGGGGCTCCAGAACCCAGTCACCAGCTCCGTGCCAGAAGCAGGGGAGAGACTGGGGTTGCGCTGCCTCAGGCCCCTCCCCCACTGCTGGCTCTGAGGCGCAGGGGCATGCGCTGGTACAGAGCTGATGCTGGGGCTCCAGAGCCCGGGGCAGCTGTTTGCAGCCTTCCGGCTGCAGCCGGCCCCAGCTCTGGGGTAGCTGCTGCCAGCCAGGAGCTGGGAGCTACCCAGAGCCGGAGCTGGCTGTGGTGTGCTGAGCAAAATGGCTTCACATGCCGTGCTCAGCACGCATGAATGCAAAGTACAGTATCAACAAATGTATGGTTTGCTGTAGTGTGAACGTTTTTAATGCGGTGCTGACCCCTGGCATAGGTTGTAGCTGGGTTGATCTAAGCACATAGGCAGACAAGGTTCTTTGGGTAAATCTAATATCTTTTATTAGACCAACTCAAATAGTTGGAAAAAATTCTTCATGTTAGGTCTTTGCCAGAACACAATGAACACCCAGTTCCAAAGTCTAATCATCTAGCTACTGATTGCTTCATTGTTGGGTTTCATACATGTGAGCAGGAGTAAATGGGAAAGGACTGCTCCAGTGTAGCAGGTGTGCTGGGGAAGCAGTGTAGGCATGGCCCTTAGAAACGACAGGAGAATCACAGGGAAAGCATGAATCCAGATTCTGTTTATCATGGTATTACTATCCTACTGTAATTCTCATGTCTTGAAGAAGCAGAAGAGTCATAGTTTCATAGTTGGTAGGGTCGGAAGGGACCTGAGCAGATCACCGAG